AGAAACTTAGTCAAATCACCCAGATACCTCCTGAAGGCCACTCAGAAATGGCATTTTTAAAGTAATTGGGTGATTAGGATTTTGTTCAGATAGTGAAAGAGTTGCAGAGCTCTTGCCCTCAGGCCATTTCATTCCAGGTCTCTCTCCTGATTTGTTTACTGGAGGAGCCCGTAAGTCATCCCTTATATTAATCTATACAAAATAGCAGTGACTCCTTTGCCACTAGACAATATTTTTACCCTCATGGGCTGCTGGAGAAAAATATGGGGTTAGATTAAAATCCAGGACAATTTGCCTACTTGAGGAAATTGGACCAGCAAGGCACTGAGAGGTATTCCTAATGAGGATTCTCCTTTAATATTACTGGGCCTTAACCACTTAGTGCTGTGGAGAAATGATTCATTGCTGTTGTGGAAGGAAAAGCTGATCTTTACTACGTAGCTTCCCTACTCTTCAGTTCATCCACTGCCAATAGCAGGAATGGAGGCAGGGCAGGAGAATAAAAAATAGCTTTCAGGCACTTCTTTGTAGTGCTCTTTTAAAGAGAAATAATTGTCTCAATGCCTACATTACCTAAATTTCTGCAAGAGGCGAATCCTCTTTGCTGCCTTTTACTTGCTGGCAAAAGCATCCCAATTAGGCTGTGTGCTCTTTGTTGCAAGTCTCAGCCACAAGCTGCCTCCTATCCCATGAAACTGCTTTCCTCACAGCAGGATGACTCCCAGGCAGTACCTTTCTTGCTGTAGTTACTTGAGTGTCCCAACACCAAATTCCCTCTGCAGTTGTCCATGTTTGTTACCTCATGCAGAGCTGCCTTTGAGGGATATTTTCCCAGACATGAGGTAGGAAGCTATTTGTAGCACTATGCTCTACTTCAATTTCTCCCCACCTGGCATTAGCCATTAACACTTACCTAGCAGCACCCATGCTTCCCTGCAGGGTAAGCAGCAGAGGATCTTGAGGAAGGATTATTTACCACCCAGCAACAACAAAAGCAATGTCTATCTACAACCAACAAACTACAAGTCAGGGAGACCATTCTTAAGTGCAGAAATCATTAGTGTTGGTCAAAACAAAACAACAGGAAAAAGAAGTGTGTTTACAGTGGGAGGAATTGTTGAATACAGAATGTCAGGCTTACATGGAATGCCCAGTTAACATGAGTGTTACAAGCTAATGGAATGTATTTAAAATAATGTCAAAATCTTTCTGTTGGCAGTGGAATCTAAGGGAGAGCTGAATGGCAGAAAAAAAAAAAAAAAAAACCCAAAATGCCTGGTGAAGGGATTGTGTCAGGGAAGCAGGAGAAAAGAGTTACCTTTTGTGATTTTACACTCCTCACAATGAATGGGGGGAAAGTCTCTTCACATTTATTTGTACTGTTATAAACATTTCTTGTGGATTTTATGACATTAATATAGCTGGATTGTTGAAAATCACATGAAAACTAATGCTTGACCTGTGTCATCTACTTCTGAATTTTTTGCTGAAAAAGCAAGAAGATATACCTGAGAAATATTACCTGCTTTCAGTATAGCAAAGTATCTTAATAATTATTTAAAAGGGAAGAAAAATCTTTATAAAGTAAGCCTTTAAATTAGCTAATACCATTTTTACACTTGTATATTTGTGATAGGATTGTGCAAAGCTGAATTTATCTTTTTTTAAGTATCAGATGCTGTCAAGTTATTTAAATTTAAGATTACATATATATATACACATACCGAATATATATACACAGAAGCCAGATACCTTAGCAAAGACTTATGTAAGTGCAAATGTGTTGTTGAACTGTTGTAGCAAACTTTTGCAAAACAGTATATTATATTTGGCAGTGCTTAGGCCCAAGTTCTATTGTGTTGTTGCTATTGTTTTTAATTTAAAGCACCTTTTGGTGACAGAAGTCCTTGTTAGCTAAAATCAGTGAGCATTAGTAAGCAGTTGAAGTTAGTAAGCTGGTAGAAGCCATTTGCTGCAAGTAGGGAAATATCTCACAGAGATGACATCCAGCTGTTACTGAGCTCACCCTCTCTCCTTTTTTATATAAATGCCAGCACAAGACAACAGACTGACTCCCCTCATGCTTATTGATAGCTGAATCTTGGCTATCCATGGTTCAGGATGCTGGTGGATGGACATGTAATACCTGTCTGGCATCCTTATGGATAAGGTTCACCTTATTTTTCTGTGTTTTGATGAATGGCCTATTTTTCTGGAACTTGTGGAAATGTTACATATCTCTTGGGTGAAAAAGACATAGAAAGACTAAGATTGACTCTACAGTACTTACTGGGCTGTAGGAACGTATTACAAAAAGGCCTACGTGATATTTGCGACCTCTAAAAAGGATTGGTGTGGGAAAGGAGAGACTCGTATATTGGTATTTGTATGTTACCAGACACTTTGAGCTGCAGCTGCTTGCCTGGGAAAAGGTTGGTTAGAATAAGCCTCGGCCAAAATTACCTCCAAAGTTACTTCCTGTACTGTACAATCACTTCCTTTCCTGATGCACCTTTCCTTTTCAGAAATCCCCTCCTTCTTTGTCTGAAAATCTTGTTTATGACAGTTCTGTGGGAATGAGGGGGCTGTTTTTCTGAGTAAAATGGAGATTTTTCTTGGAAGACATTGAGTGGCCTTTTCTCAGAAGAGTATCTCAGTCTGCACCACACTTTGCCATATCATTCTGACACTGCTCAACTATTAGATGAAGTGCATGTGATCTCTTTGATCCTTCTTTACATGTATCTCCTGTTGAAAGGATTAATTTAGGGATCTAATTTCAGAGGTTAAGGGCTATGAATCCCTGACACATCCTCATTTAGTGTTGGGATACATGATAACTTACCCAGGACACACGGAGAGCTAGCTCTCATGGGGTTTCCTTTATGTGGAAGTTACAGTGTGCATGGTAACTTTTGCACATTTTCTCTCATTATTGATTTCAGATATGGCCTTGGCATGTACCAGAGACTGGATAAATAAGTGCTAAATCCAGCCATACAGATATAGCAACTAAGAACTGAAGCCCTTTCCTCGCTTTAGAGGCTTTAGCTACTGTCTTTGGCCTTCGGTTTCTCCAAACCATTTTGAGTTTCCATCTCTTTCCAGGGAGATAGACCATCTAATTCAAATCTCAAATGATATGGGACAGCATGGCAGCTAGAAAGGAACCATTATGGTAATGAGTAGCTGGGTCCTAGAGATGAAAGGAAATTATGTCATTGATTTGCCATGTGTTGCACTGGGATCCTCATCTCACATTTGTTGATGCTTCATCCTTGTTTCATTCATGCTATTCTTGCACCTGGACTCTGCTCTGGTGAAAGTGGTACTTGGGCAGTGAGAACTACTGGCAGCCCAGCGTAAAGCTGTGCCACAGTCCAGGGTGGCCCTGTACCTTATTTTATGAATCTCTTTATCTGGAGATCTTCATTTTGGTGCTACCCAAAAAATATCAGGAGAGAGCGAGCCAATAGAAATATAACTTGAGGTTTTAAATACCTATGCATCAAAGTGACATTTTTGACTACCATTTACCTTTAGCTTTGAATAAATTCACATGTCAATCATTTTTATTAATTCAAAGGCTTACTTGTCTTCAAAATACTAAAAGGACTTATCACAGTAAAAAAGTTCTTCCTTTTTGAAAAGATTTCTTCTCAGAGTGCCTTTTTGATGAATTCTTTTCTCATGCATTCCGTGCATTACTAGGCTTCAAAGGGCAAGTGCAAAAAAACCTAATAGAAACGAGATTTAGCTTAGTTAATACATTCCCTTCATGTAAAATTAGTCCCTAGGACACTTTACTAGAGACAGAAGAAAATTTTCTATCCCTTCATCAGATTGCTTCCTCTAGCTCTTCTTTTTGTTTGTTAAGCCTCAGATATTATGGCTATTAATAAAATCAGATCCTCTTCTCAGTTTATCATAAAACATCTTGCTCCCATTTTTTCCAGTTTGGTGACAGAGATGTATGGCATGCAACAATGTGTTAATATCACTCTTCTCTTGAATGAGTCTCTTCCCTTTGATTCACGCTGTTAAATAATCTAATCCATGTGCTGGAATGACAGATACTACTTTGGAATCATCTCTAAAAATATTAGTTGGTATAGCAAGGGGACATTCCTCTGCTAGTTTATTTTTCTTTAGTATTTGTGTTACATTAGCTTGTCTCAATGTGTCTAACAAATTGCTTTTCTCCCAGGAATTTTCAAATAATTTAGTTAAGATATATAAAATAATTTCCATTCAGTCCTAGCCTACATCCATTAGTGCTAAAGCTATGTTGTCTAGAGATTTCATATGACTATTCTGTCACTAAATGTACAGTAAAATTCACATCTTATCCTTTCCTTTTCTTTTTTTTAAGCTCCAGATTTGTTTTGTTGGGGCTTTTTGGCAGCACAAGTAACATAAACATTGTCTTCAGGTGCCTAATATCATATAATGACAGAGAAGTCAGTTGAATTGTTTTATAAGATTCTTCAGCAAAACTAAGAGCTTCTGATAATACTGGGCTAAGGGAGAGTCTACTTTTATTAGCTTACATGCTAGAATCTATCTACCTTCTGTATGCTTTTTTAATTAAGCAGAGTTAAATTGAACACACCCATTCCACCCTTGTCCTTCTTCTCTGTTTTAAACAGTTATTTACATCTTCTCCCGCTACTTGATTTTATACCCTAATTCCCATCTGAAAAACTGCACCTCATTCATTTATTTCCTTTTTTTTTCCAACACTGAAATTGTCAAGTATAACCCTGTGGCTCATTGAGATCCAGTGTGAAACTCAACTACATTTCCTTCATGATAGAAGTGTTTGCTTGAGAATTTCTGAGTTTATTGATGTTTACCTACCCAGTCAATGAGAATTTTTGTCAAATAGTGGTGTATACATGGCAATGAAAATGATAGTGTAATTTGCCTCTATTACTTCCTGATATCAGGATTCTACTGCACTGCAAATTTCATATCTGTTGTTATTATTTGTTTGACAGAATCAAAAACATGCCAGGTGCTTTGCAAAACAGAGAACAAGAAAAATCCCTTTCCAGAAGAGATGACAGCCTGAATAGAAATGGCATAATGGCAGGAGACAAAGGAAGCAGAAAGGGGAAGCAAAACAAGAGTTATAACCTTAAGATCATGAGATTGGTTTGGAGGCACAGTGAACGCTATGAGGCATTTTTTTAAAGCCCATAAGGACTGTAGTTGGGATTAGAGAATGGAATTATAGAAAAGAAGCATGGAAAGGAATGGAGAAGAAGGGAGGAACAGACTGGCAACAGGAGGAAGAGTAAACAGAGGTGTATGGGAGAGGCCAGAACACACATCTGACAAACTGAGGATTATGACTAATGACAAGAATGAAAGACCACATCTGAAGAGCATGATGATTTCAGGAGGATGGCGAAGCAGGACATGGCGATGCTGCTAGGGAGAGAAGAGCCAGCAAAGCTGCCCTGGAAGCCTGCCCTGGAAGCTCCTCACACTAACATAACCCTGCTTCCCCATCTTCTTTCTCGCTCCCCTCTTATACATAAAATATGTATATAGAAGAGCAAAGGAGAAGGAGAAGCAGCTAAATAAACTTTTCCAAAGATCCTGCTGGGGAAGAAGTTTAAGCTGGGATGATACAGATTCACTCCTACTGATACTGCTCATGGTAGTGAGAGGCAGAGAGCATTCTGTTAGTCATACTCCTGCAGATGAATCTATATGAGTCTTTGCCTCTGCTTACAAATAGGCCTTGTTGAGAAATATTCAACAAAATTATAATACTCTAGCCAATCTGGGACATTTAAAAATGTCCTTTCATTCTAGAACAGAAATAAATTACACCACGCAAAGTGAAATGGAAAGAGGAAAGAAGAATATTTTAACAGGTTTTCTTTTAATGCTGAAAATAATCATTTTAGTATTATGGAAAAATATAAGGGGGATTTTGCTCATTGTGAAAAAAAATGCGCATTAAAATTTTTAATGAAATTTCTGATAAAATTGGGAATTATTTTAATTATGTAGGACTGGTTTTTCTGTTGGATTTTTTTAAGAAAAGTGGTGTTTTTAGAAGGAAACAGGAAAATTGCTATGTTCATTCTGTCAGACATTTTAAAATACCATGATTTCCAAGGTAAGAATTCTTCAGGAGTAAGAAACATGAAAAGTGGCCAGTCTAATCTCTTCCTCACTTCCTTCTCCTCTGCTTCTGTGATCAGACGTGTCTAATGATAGTCTGCAAAGAGCAAAGCCAGTTTCTATGTCTCCCTGAGAAAAGGCATTTTGCCAACTTTAAGAATTTTTAACTGGATCTACTTACAGGAAGTCACTTTTTTTGCTGCAGACTATGTGTCCACTTAAATCCCCCTCAAAGCTCTTCCATTTTGCCTGGAAAGGTTTATCAGAAAGCATGCTGGAAAGGCTCAGATCTTTCCATCTTAAACTGTTTCTGAACATAGTTATAGTTTAGCAGATGTACTGGTATGACAGTTGAGAGACTACTGCTGTTAATGAAGTATTCTATTACCTTGGCATATATAGACACTTTTCACTTGGTACTTCTAACTGCAAAGTATTGATGTTTAGGCTATTATAAGTACTTGTGCGTTATATTTTTGGTAAGTTTTAGAGGACAGAACTGCGTAAATATTTCTTCTCTTCAGGGTAACAGTTTTCATGAGTCATTCATCTTGAATGTACACCAGAGTGATATCAAGTTTGTTGTTGTGACACCTTATCAATATGATGCCCATTTTTAGTTTCTTCTAGCAGTGGAATGATTTAAGTATTGTCTCGTGGAGACAACGGCCTTGTTTAAGAATGGTGACTCTGGATAAGATTCAAATAATTTGTCTGAGTGAAGAGGAGGCAACTGAAAGTCATCGCTGAAATATTACCAAAAATCCTTAACTGGTTGGATTTGTCCATCACTTGCTTGAAGATTTTGGTAAATGGTGGTTTACTAGGTTCCCAAATGCCAGCAATGGCCAAGCACTTTCTTTTAATTTTCTTCAATTTGGACTTTGCTTAAGTTAATTAAGCTTTTGTCATCTCAGGGTTCCATTTTAGCAATGAGGTTTACAAGACCTTCTCTGTCAATGTAAAATCTTCCTATACTTAAGAACATATGACATATGTTCTTAAGTATAGGATGCTCAGCAGTGCTTGAAGAATGATTCTCACCTCAGTAATTTCTCTCCATTTTTATCAAAATAATACTGGATTTAAATCCTATAGCCATGGTATCAATTTACCAAAATCTTCTCTGCCTAAATTATTCTTCAATTAAATGTAGATCAAAGTTTTATAACAATCCACCTATCATTAAAAAAATGGGATTGCAAAGTAGTGTCATAATATCACCCCATAATACAGATTTTTTGCATATCATATTTACATATTTAAAAGAACTCCATTAACTCAGTTGCATACAACGTTTTGCAATAAGAGGCACAACATAAAGCAATATCAAAACACAGGTAATATTTCTACTAATTTTATTTAGCCAAGCTCCAGATTTTGCATAATTTTGCCACTGCTTCTGGCATGATAGCAGATATGGAGGTTATCCATGCCTGCCTACCTTTTGGTGCTGAGAGAGGATTCAGTTGTGTGGCACCTTACCATCCTACCCTCTGCTACCAAAAAAAAAAAAAAAAAAAAATTCCACTTGGAAATGGGGCATAACCTCTGGGAAATTCGGTTTGACCTACCTTCTGGGTTCAGCAACTGAACTGGACTGGATGCATGATTTGGGAAGGGATTTAATACCAGCTACCTCAGTAGCCACAAGGTGTTACAGGAAAACAATTGAAAAAAACCCAAACTATTATAATGTATCCTGGGACTGAAGGACAACATGGTTATTTGCCTATATATTAATTTCTAACCTTGCCTATACTTTTCCTCAGAATCCTTCCCTGATATTGACTGTCAGCTCTTTCAAGAAGACGCTTGGTTTTGCATAAAGTAGGAATGGCTGCACTGACTCCAGCCACGAGCCCACATAGTCGTGTGTACCTGACTGTGTGCCTTGGTAGGGGTACAGTCTTGTTATAAGGCCTCCACTGATCCCTACAGGTTAGGGAAACTGTCAGCTGTTGACTTCCAGACATCTTCAGGGCTCTATATCCAATATGTACAGTTCAAATGCTTCCCAAATCAGGGCAGTGCACTATGATGAGTAGTCTGAATTTGTCCTATATTCTGTGAATTTACTTCTTTCTTCTGTCAATCTTCTCTCTCTGTCTTGCTCTTCTTTCTCCTGAAGTAGAATGACCAGGGTTGCATGAATTATTCAAAATAAGAGTGTATGATGTATTTATACAGTGATATAGCGATACAGTGTATTTATACTGTGAGATATATATATATATATATATATGTTTTCTATTTTGTTTACCGTTTCTTTCTTAATCATCCAAATATCCTGTTTCACATTTTTACTTGATACTGGGTGCTTGACTTGATGTTTTCAGAGAGATGTCTGATGTTATTCCTTATTTTCCCTTCTCAAGCAATAGTTACTTTGTAGTCCCTGCCTGTGTGTGTATAGTTAGACTTATTTACCCCTTGTTCAGTTCTTTCTGTTTTATCAGATTTCATCACTCCTTCATGGCCAAGGGCATTGAAAATTGTGAAATCATTTTGCAGTTCTTTTCAGGCAGTTCCTTACTGATTTAACTTACAAAAAACATTTTGTATCAAACTTTCTCATCTGACAGTTCTTAGATATCACATTTCCCTTTACTACTAATAAAAGTACTTTTGCTTAAATCCTCTGTTTTATTTCATGCTTCAGTCCAGGAATCTTTTTAAACACTTAAGTGCCCAATTTCTATAATTTTCTTCTATGTTTTTAAGGTTGGGGGAGGGAGAACTTCAAACTATTGTCATTTGTGTTTTATTAACTGGAAACCTTAAAAGTAGATTTCAGACCTTCTTATTGCTTCCTGGTTCTGACAGAGTGGTTATACAACCTTCAGAGTGAAAAATTGCTAAGGGCTAGATCCATAAACTGCATCTAGGAATGCCTTTAGCCTCTTAGATCTCCTGTCTCCTTGTGAAAGATGTAAACCCAGACTAGTCACATCCCTCTACACTGAAAGGGAAAACCTGGGTGTTAAGCAACAACCTCCACCAACTCTTTCATACTGAGCAGGGAACAGTCTGAGTGAACAGGAGAAACATCCAGATGGGGAGAAACATCCATTAAACCAGGGAGTGGTGTACTGATATTGGAATATTTTTCAACACTGCCTTATTAATGGGACTGTAAGGTGCTGACTGCAGCTATTTCTCTGTTGATCCCACTGTTTCCTGCAGTGAGCTGTAGAACCAAACTAGAATGCTGAGGTCACAATCCTTCTTTCTCTAGCACAGTGAATGTTAAACTTTCAGGGTTAGGCAACAACTGAGTAGACTTTAGGGAACTACCCTATCAGCATGAACACACATTTAGCCACTTCTGTTTAAGCGCAAGTCTAAAGTGGGGTCTAAGTTACAGCACTGGTGATAGCAGTGAAAAGAATTTGAATCCCAGTTTGCAGACCTGTTAAACTTGATTGTGAGAAAGGACTAACTTTATATAACCCATATAGAATCTTCACTCAAATGACATTCTTGCAATCCTCCAAAACCTATGCTTGGTCTGCACAAGTGTTGTGCCATGACCCATGTTACCATGTGAATACTGACAATACCTAAATGTAGACAGGTGAGTAGACCCTATGAGTTATAAATATTCATAATATACCAAAAATCTTAGATAGTGGGAAAAAGGAGTGAGCAACATAAGTGAACCATGACTGACATTTAGTGTTTCTCAAGCTATTGTATGTTCAATATTTGAGAGAAAGAACTGAGAGCACATTTATTTATTTATTTATTTATTTATTTATTTATTTAATGTTTTAGAAACACCTCCACTTGCCAATATTAAAAGAAACTACTAAAAGAAACACAAACCAAACAACAACAACAACAAAAAATCAAACAAAGCCCCCCCCCACACCACAGTTAAGTACTGTGCTTATTTTTTGTAGTTATAAAAGTAATTCTATCAAAACATATAGCTACACTAATCTGGCCAGTGACAAAAGTGAACCAACTGCCAGAGGAGGTTTGGGATGATGAATTTCCATCCATTCCATTACATCTTAGGTGCCTGTAAATCCTTCTCTGAACCAGTAGAAGTCTGAGAACTAATAAGCCAAAAATTAAGACCCTGCAAACTATCAAATCAAACTGCCCTGTGATTTTTTAAAAAAGAACAAGCTCTGAATGATTGCTATCTTTATCTCTGTCATCTATATCTATGCATCTACATTAATACAAGTTTTTGTCTATATCTATATAGACATATATCTATATCTATATCTGTGTATCAATACAGGCTAGTTCACACATTTGTAATTATTTGCTTCCTCAGTTTTTTAGATATATATATTGGCACAGTGCTTCAGCATTTCTTGTTTTGATGATATTAACATTAATGGGTTCTACTTTTTAACTGATAATTATTAATTGAATAAGGATGTCAGGTAGCAATAAAATAAAAGACAATGAAGAGAAACTTGGGATTAGGGAAAAATTCATAACAAATCCCAGGTCAGCCTTTCATTCCTGGTGTGTACATTCCTGGTGTGCACAATACTTTTTGCATATAATGCCAAAATGGCACAGAAGGTAGATTTTTATGCACTGGCACCAAATAACAATAAAGCTCTTTCAAGACCTCATATACTCAGAGACATAAGGAGCTTGTAGAAGCCTCTGTCTTTAAACTTGTCCAGAAACATCAAAGTGATAATTTTATGCCAATTCTGATATTGTGTGTTCACGCCAGATCCTAGAAAAATTCCCCTTCCTTGTTCAAAGCACATGTCACCAGCCCTTTCTAGCTCTTTTCTTTCTATGTAGTACATGATTGAAGACTTCATTGGTTGTTGGTCGCAGACTTACTCATGAAAAATGTCTTTTTAGTTGTGTTTTGACTGTAAACTACACTTACATTATTGAAAGACCTGTTTCAATCTTTTTTCTATTCCAAAACCCAGATTTAGGAAGTGATAGATGACTGATTGATTCTTCAGGAAAAAAAAAAACAAAACTACTTCTCTTAAAGAAAAACATTTCCTATAACATACCTTTCCTCTAAGGTTTCCAAAAGTTAGGGATCTCAATTTGAAGCCATTTATGGGACTCTAACTTTTTTGAAAGTACTGATTTCCAAACTTCTGAAATACCGTAATTCTCAATTTATTACAAACTAAAAAAAAAAATATAAAAAGACATCTTTAAAAGTAAAAGGAAAAGACTTAGTTAGTGAATTTTCTTTGACATTTTAGGGCCTTGATTTATATTACGCTCGAGTTCTCTCTTTCTTATAAATGCATACACATATGTTTGCACTTTCACAGAGAAGAATCATAGAATGAGAACAATTTAGTTTGGAAATGGGTTAGATTGAGTCTAACCCTTAACCTATTACTGCCATGTCCACCACAAGATTATGTCCTTAAGCACACATCAACACAATTTTTGATACCTCCAGGGACGATGATTCCACCGCTTCCCTTTTCAAATGCTTGAGAACATTTTCCATTAAGAATTTTTTCCCAGTACCCAAACTAAACCTCCTCTGGCACAACTAGAACCAGTTGTTACCCAGGAGAAGAGACCAGCTTCCCTGTCACTACAACCTTTTTTCAGGTGGTTGTAGAGAACAACGTCCCCCTGAGCCTCCTTTTCCCCAGGCTAAACAACCCCAGCTCCCTCACCTGCTCCTCATTAGAACTGTTTTCTTGACTTGACCAACTTTGTTGCCTTATTCTGGATGAACTTCACCTCCTCAACGTACTTGTGGTGAGGTGCCCAGAACTGGACACAGTCCTCAATGTGGCGCCTCACAAATGACAGGGGAAGGAGGACAATCACTGCCACAGTCCTGCTGGCCACAATACTTTTGATAAAAGCCAGGATGCCATTGGCTTTCTTGGTCACCTGGGCACAAGTCTGGCTCAAGATCAGCTGGCTGTTGACCAGCACCCTCCTGTCCTTTTCTGCTGGGCACCTTGCCTGACACTCTGCCCCAGCCTGTAGTGCTGCATGGATTTGTTGTGACTGAAATGCAGGACCCAGTGCTTTGCCTTGTTGAACCTCATACAGGTGTCCTTGCCCATTGGATCCACTCTGTCCAGATCCTTCTGTAGCACCTTCCGAGCCTCTATCAGATCAACAATTCTGCCCAACTTTGTGTGATTTTTGAAGTGACTGACAGTGCACTCAATTTCCTCATTAAGATCATTGTTAAAGATTAAATAGAGCTGGCCCAAACACTGAGCCCCAGGGAATGTCACTGGTAACTGTCCGCCAATGGAATTGAACTCCGTTCACCATCACTTTCTGGGCCAGCCATCCAGGTAATTTTTACTCTGCAAACACCTTCCACACCATGAGCAGCCAGTTGTCCCGAGAGAATCCTGTGGGAAATTGTGTCAAAGGCCTTACTAAAGTCCCAGTAGATACCATCCATAGCCTTTTCCTCACCCACTAAACTGGTCACCCTGTCATAGAAGGCAATCAGCTTGGTTAAGGTAGACCTGCCTTTCCTAAACCCCTGATGGCTGGGTCTGATCCATTGTCTTCCATGTGCCATGTGATCTCAGACACGTTGATCTGGTCCAAGACCTTCCCCAGCACTGAGGTCAGTTTTCTTGTAGATAGGTGTCCCTTTTGTTAATCTGCAGTAATCTGTGACTCCCCTGCTGAGCCAAGAGTGTTGAAAAATGATGGCTTAGTGAAGTCTAAGCCATTTTCTAGTAGCTCTTCTAGTAGCTCCTCTGTACCCTCAGGTGAATCCCATCCAGGCCCTGTAACACTTTTGTTCACCAAGTGGTGCAGCAGGACACTTAAAATTTCCCCATGTGTTATGGGGGTTTCATTCTGCTCCCGATCCCTTTCTTTCAGCTCAGAGGGCTGGTTTTCCCCCAGTGTCTTAAAAGTTACTAGTATTATTTTTAAAGACTGAGGCACTACTTCTGACTTTTCATCATCCTTTGTTACTATATTCTTCCTTGCATCCATTAAAGGATGGAAATTCTCTGCAACCTCCTTTTTGTTGCTGATGTGTTTATAGAAACATTTTATATTATCTTTTATGGCAGAAGCCAGATTAAGTTCTAGATGGGTTTCAGCCGTTCAAGTTTCCTCCTTTATAACCTCATGACATCCTTGTAGTTTTCCTGAATAGCCTGCCCCTTCTTCTAAATGTCATAAACTCTCTTTCTTGACTTCCACTCAAAGCTCTCTGTTAATCCAGGGTGGTCTTCTTCCTCACCTCCAAAACTTACGGCAGGTGGCAGCAGTCTGCCCCTGTATTTTTAAGATTTCCCTCTTATAGCACATCCAACCTTCCTGGATTTCTTTCTTCTTCAGGACTGCATCCCAAGGGACTTTGTCAGTCAGGCTCCTAAGAAGGCCAAAGTCTGTCCTCCAGAAATCCATACTCTACTGATTCCACTCCTTACTTCTCCAAGAATAGTGGACTCTATTATTTCATTATGTCTGTGCCCAAGAAGTCCTCCGACCACCACAACACCCTTAAAGTCCTTCTCTGTTCACAAACAACAGGCCCAACAGGACCCTTTTTGGGTCCTCCAGAAGTTGTGTCAGAAAAGTAACTTCCACACTCCAGTAACCTCCTAGACCATCTTTCTTGTGCTGCATTTCTACCAGACATCTGGTAGCTCAAAGTCTCTCATGAGAACAAAAGCCATGTGAGACTTCTCTTAGCTGCTTGCAGAGTATTTCATCCAGCTCTTCATCTTGTCTGGGTGGTTTCTAAGAGATTCCCTGTTGGATATTCCTTGATATTCCTTGTTGGCCTTTCTTCCATTCCTCACTTGTAAAGACAACCCTGTCATCACCATCATTAAATTCTAGGCAATCAAAACATTCCCATCCTTGCCTACCCCTTCTGAAGAGTTTTTTGCCATCCATTGCAGCACTCCAGTTGTGTGGGTCTTCCCGTCATATTTCTGTGATGGCAATTATGTCATAGTTTTCCTGCTGCACCATGACTTCCAGCTTCTGTTTGTTGCTCATGCTGCATGCATTGGTGTAGATGAATAGCCAGGGAAGTCTCTCAACTTTAATATTACAGATGAACTTTTAACCAGTGGACAGCCATTCTAATCAAAGCTGAAGTATCAAGGAAAACAAATTGAGATGGTCAGTTTGGAGGCAGGTTTTTCTAATAAATACAAGGAGTTGGTTATATGCATCATTAAATATTTCAGCTAAGTGAAACTTAGAAAATGCATTGTTGTCAACCATAATTAATACCAATTTGGACAGGAATATTTCAAACACTACTGTAGTAGGTCTTGGTTGCTAGAGACAGCAGAAATTTCTATGGGCAGTTCAAGATACACAGTTTTCTTATTATAAATTTCTTATTATTTATATTGTTAAGAATTTGCCAATTAAACAGTAAAAGGATACGGACCATGTTCTTTCTAAAACTTCATGTTTTAATGTTTTCCCATGTATGTTGAAAACACAACTTATAGCTTTGGCTTCTAACTTATAGAAAAAATAGGCAATGCTCATTGAATAAGATAAGTTTAGGCTTTTGTAGATCATTCAAATTAAGTTTAAAATTAGTCAAACATATTAATATTATTCATCTCAGCCAAATAAAAATTTAGAAATTGTCACATTGGTCTATTCAGAATTATATTTTATCTGTGCAGGTATGAAAACTGTACATTCATTTTGATAGTGAATAAAAATGAAATATTTGGATATTTGTGTAATCACAATTTAATTATCACTAGAGTTGTGCATAATTTCTTATGTACAACTAGACAAAATTCCTGGGCAAAAGCTTAAAAGTTGTCTCTTAGTTTACCAGAAACATTATCTATCTACCCATGGATGCACACAGATATTCAAGCACACATTCATAAATACATGTAGAGAAGTCTGTAAAAATGACTTGTCTTTGTTTATTTTCTCAGAAACTAGAGATATGTTAAGAATAAAATAATTTAAGTAAACCTTTGCCTGTGTGCAATTTCTGAATCAAAATTTCACAGAAACCTTCCTAAGTATAAAGATGTAATTTTATGAAATCCAACAAAAACAAACACTGAGAGATGTAATCTGCATTCTTACTTGACTTTTTGTATCCATTGTTTGCTTTTATTTTTGGTGATGGTGCTATTTTCCACCTCTTTGCTTCCATGCTTTTGGAGAAGGTTAACAGAACTAATGACTAACTGCATTCCCACAAGGGACCTAAGAAATAACCTCAAAATTATACAACGTGTGCTTTAAAGTAATGAAATAGTCCCTTTGTCACCTTTGAAAATAGCAGGGACTAGTTTTGCCACTTCCTTCCCTCCAGACTGCTCTCATATGCATTTTATAGTGAAGTATTCCCTTGGAAATAAACAATGCACAAGTCCTAAAACTTTTTTTTTAATATATAATTACCAGATATAATGGAGTTGGTGAGGTGAATGTAACCAGGATTTAAAAATATCAAGTGCCACTAGGTGACATTAAATGTAATGAAATCTCAAGGTCAACTTAATTTCCTGCATCTCCTTATCTCTTTGACACATAGTACTGTATCTCAGTAGCTGCCACCAACAGCTACCATCAGTGTGCTTGGCTAATTGGTAATCAGTCATGTCACTTGGTGTGATCTCATCCAGTCTGACTATTGAACCTGAGTGCAACAACAAAAAAGGAAATTGAAAAACTCTTAGTAGCTATATGTCTAGCCCACGTATTTTCAGCAGCATCATATTCCTGCAGTTCAAGCTTTCATTATATTACGTTAATAGGCATGTTTGGGTTTGATGCTTTTGGGAGTATTTAATATAGGAAAAGTCTGTAGCACTAAAAGCCGTGGCATTTAGCTACCAACCAAATGACCCCATCAAATGCTGAAAGATAAGATTTCTTAGCAGTTCAACAGCATTAAGATAGGAAAAAAACCATTTAAATAAAATTTCTACTCACATGCCCTTTCTCATCATTAACCATTTCAGCATGGAGTGTAGCCAACATAGCTGAATGGGATGTGATCCAGCAAAGTGCTTAAGTACAGCTAGAATATAAGCACAAGAATATCCCATCAAAGTTACTACATGATGACCCATGTGATTAAAATTGCACAGAATTATAGGTAGGTGCTTTTATGCATTAGGGTTTAAGGAATGAGGCATTTAAGACCAGCCTTTCATGTGCTAAAAAAATATTTACAAATCTTTTTAAGAGTTGATATATAAAGAAAAATTACTATCTTTCCTTTGATTGCTATACTCAGGACAACTTCATATGTGAAAATCATGCACATTAAGTGATCACTTTATTCCCAAACTAAGCGGTTGTCTGAAATGGCAAGCCTCAAGTGCTAATCTCTATTACTAATAAACAAAAGTAAATCATGGCAGAAAACTCGTTTATGTTCAGTAATCTCCAGAGGATTAGCATTTCAAGGGATCAGATTTCCTAAACTCCTCTTTTCTGATAACAGCCTCTGCTGTGAGATGACACACCAATAGACATAAATTATCTAGAGCTGCAGATAAGCAGAGGCCATTTGGGGGTTCGAAGTGCAATATAAATAGATGCAAAACAGTAGGGGAACTGGTGCTCATCACAAACCTCAGAAGGATTAGCAGTTCAAGCTCTGATTTGCTTGCTGTTTTTAGCTGTGATTTATCATCAGACAGTGCCTGAGCGTCTGTTTTATCTGTGATAATTTAATGGTTTAATGGCAGTCCCTTTATCTGGGGGTCATAATTAAGCTTGTTTGATCAGTTTCCTAACAAGCACCTCCTCTGTATTTTTAGCTATGCCTATTTTTTCTCTGTATGTAGCAGCATTTTTGCTAATTAGTATTAACAATATTATTGTTAACAATTACTGGAAATGATAACAATCTCTTAAAAGGTTGGCATTTATCTGGAGGAGCAATGCAAGCCAAAAAGGATGCAAGACTGAATCTAAATACATTTACAGGAGATTTTAAGTGTGGTGTCTCATCACCTCTTTGGCTTCAGATTCAAATCTAACTCAAATATATAAATGAATAAAATAATTTTCAATTGGATCATGTTTCTCTGGTGAAAAATTAACATCAATTTGAAAATGAAGATGACTTGAGTCTTACAGTGCATTTACTGTCCCTCTATATCTTCCTACTAATTAGCTGTTTCTTCCACTCTCATGAGATTTTTTTTTCCACAAAAGATGAATTTAAAAACCTTATTATGGCTGTTTTAAAACACAGGTGTCACCAAAATGACATTTTAGCTATTAAAATCATTATTAATAGAAGCAACTAATTATTTTTTAAATGCATTGAATAAGGGATATTTGAAGTGAAATCTTTCTATGATTTTTTTTTAAATACAACACAGTGACAAATGAACAAAATTGTTAAATGTGGTGGTTTGGGATGTTTTGGGTTTTTTTGTTAAGGAAGAACAAATGGAAAAGAAACAGATTCTGATTTGTCACACTATTTCTTAATTATTGATGTAATTTTCTTAATGAAATACTTTAGAGACCACAGGGAGATGAGACTATGTTATGTAGTGATATTTAAAGAAACAGAATGACTGGCTTTAGAAAGACATCTAAGGAACCTGATCAGATGTATATAGAGGCAAGAGTTATGGTAGTAATATGTGCATAAATCTATGCATATGTGAATTTATGTGAAGTTCCAAATTATGTATGTGATTTTGTAATATGTATTCCATGGTATGTGCATTTTAGTCATATGCATAAATTTATGTATTCAAAGATTGATTAAAGTTTGTCTTTAAAATACATCTTATTTACCTTTTGAAGAAAAAATTAGTAGTGGGATAGACAATAGATATAAGTCTAACTTAATTATTTAGATACTATAATTAATGCAGAGAGACAAGGTTCATTAGAAAGTGAGTAATTCCTCTTACTTGACTTGCTTGTTTTAGAATTAGATTAATTGCTTTTCTTTCTCCTGGCTGTTGATAAAGTCCAGGCGACATGACTAAGTTTGAATCTGGTTTAGGGTCAGATGAAACTATAGCCACATGAACAAAAGAAATAGTAAATTTCTGAGTGAGAATTTCCAATACTTTCTTATGAAGCTACCTCCCTTTGCAAATGGATGAACTGCCACAGAAGTGTTATGTATGTGTTTATATAAATGTATTTTCTGTCTTGTGTAAATAAAGGCTCACCTGAGAATCCTGCATAAACCAACCTTTTTCTCAAGATATTATCAAATAACCTATAGTAGTATTGATTAAGTAGGCAAAGACTTACAGCCAACCACAAAGAGAAACAAAATGAAAAAACAACACATCTGTTAGTTCTCCTCTACTAATAATGCAATTTTACTGGCTTTTTCTAAGTTTTGCAGGTGGATCAGAAATGGCCTATGTTCAGCTGTTTGTGTTTGGCAAGCAGGAATTTGATTTAAGCTTGTAATCTGTCCAAGAGTATGGCAGAGGAATTTACTTGGAGTATTACAGACTATAGTCTCAAAGGAGGTTTTTTCCATACAAAACTCTTAGTCCAGTTCTTGATGAAATCAGTGAGAAACTTTTCACTGACTGCAGTGGGATCAGAGTGAAGGTGCCAGCCCCACTGCAGCTGCAGCTGGCAGTTGCCTGGGAAGCTGGAATTGTACTGAGCTATGGAACAAGCAAAATGTGTGAAAGATAGAAATGACAAGGTGTAAAGGAGATTGCAACATAACACACCAAAATCCTTAACTGGTATCTGCAGCTAAGGCCAATGACATTTGGGAGCTGAGCTGGCCCTGGGAGGCCTCGATGAGATAAATCCACACAGTCACTGAGACGTGTGCTTTACACATCCAGCTTCACAGATAACTTTCCAAAACTAACAAGACAGAAACATTCCTGGATGAATACTACTTTTGTTGCTGCCAGTATGGGGCAAGTTCAGATTTTTTTTTTCCACCACTTAGAATAAATTGTAAAGGATTTATAAAATAGGAATCTTTGCCCAGCTCACAGTAAGAGCAGAGACAGCATCATGCAGTCACCACTGTGTTATGTTGTTAGCTGTTCACCAGTTGGTGCCAGACATAATAAAGTCAAATAAATCTCCAAGAACAAAAGCATCATGAAGCTTTTGAAGTGTTGAAACCTTTGTTTTAAGTTCACCAAAGGTTTTAGTTGATCTTACTGTTGTCAGTATAGAAAACAATAAATATCCTAAATATATCTCATTGTTTTAACTTTAGCCATTACTTGCCATTCTTGCGGAAATAATGCTCATTCTAAAAAAGAAATCATTGATATTACGAAACAACTGCTCATGTGTCTGAAAGCTGAAATAAGTTTTCAGTTTATAATGTAACATTAATTTCTGGCTCTGTATTCATGGTTAGGATTAGAACTGGTTTAAATTTGCTGGTTTTATTTTGTGTAGTTTTGCATGAAAATGATCATGGTCTGGTAACATATTCAGGCCCACCATTCCTCCTGCATCTGTAGCTTTAATAATGTGATTTTATGGCTATATGTATATATAAAAATAAACATATTGGTATACATATACATAGATATTGGTATATAAAACCATAAATTCTCACTCATTCTTTGATGTACAAACAATTCTCAAGAATCTATTTTCACCCACAAACAGGCATGTTATTACTGGAAAACAGTCCCAAATGTGATTTGAATACTTCCATCACAAAGCTAAATTTTGTTTCCACTAGAATATAATGTAGTTTTCACTAGATTAGATCCAATTATATCTCTATAGCAAACAATCTCCATTATATTTAAGACATGTTTTATTTCATTATGAAAATGTTGCATAATATGGTCTTCTCATCCAAGTCTCAAATTCTGTTTTTAGCTCTTCCACTGATTTACGATTTTATAATAGAGAAGCCCTTTAATCTCTCTGAACTTCAGTTTACTCATTTGAAGTAGATGAGGAGACAAGTGTGATCTAATTGATGTTTATAAAGCTCTTTGAGACCTCATAATGAAAAATAAGACAGAAG